CTCCGTGTGTCATGAGTAAAATTATTGGACAAAACATGTAATTTGAAGCATGCAGGATTCATCCAATTATAAAAACTTGAATTAGAATTTGCTACAGAAAAGCACTTGCGACAGAAGAGGCATAGACCCATTGTGCCTATCTTGGGCGATGACAGTAGCCAATAAGAATGCTAAATACCAGTAATTTACATAATAAACATGACTAGCAACTAAAGTATACCTGCATCTTTCTAGATCATATGTAGATGCACCAAATGCAGGAACAATTTCTTCGAGGGCGTGCAGAAAATCATCCATTGTAACTTTTATATTCTCCTCATCCAGAGGTTTAGTAAGATCATCCATGCTTATCTGACGATTTAAAGCAAATGAAACTGCGCTTTTCACAACACCTTCAAGTTCAGCTCCACTGTAATTCTTTGTCCTTGCAGCTGCAACCAGAATATTAGAAGTTAAACCATGGGATGACATGAATAACAAATTTCAGTCGTCTCTAAATTTACCTAAAAGGATTCTGCATAATTAAAGAACAAGCATCCAGGGATCCATAATTTCATATTTAATAATGATATAAGTGACACAAAAATGACAAAATAATAGTCATCCAAAACAGGCATACTTTGATCGCATTATTAAATTTTGAGCCTGAAGCTGGTGAGGAGCAAATTCCTCACCATGGATTTAGCATAAATAGCCATGTGCCTGTAAGCATTAATATAAACCGAGACCGAGTCTCCTGTTCTCAAAACATGCTCCAAACATGCATAATACATGTAAATAAATTCCCATGTATTACTCATGTATATGCACTCAATCCATGTGATACACAGGCTAGTTACCATATATGAATGCATTACAAATGCATATGAAGAAAATGCAAGTTATCCAGAGTCTGTTTTAAACCTCAAGTTTACTAACAGTCAAGTCTATTTATGCCTTCTAAATAATTACACATTCAACAAATCTATTAAAATTACTTGTCAACTCAAAAGACAACAAGATATATGAACTCAAAATCCTGAATTTTTGTGGCTCATCTCATGCACATGCATACATAGCAACACCTGCTGGTTTATTTTATAGAAGAAAATAGCTAAGATCCAAAATTGTACTTAATAAAGGACGCATGGAGAAAAAATGTATATTCCAACCATTAATAAAATAGAAGTAGAATTCCAATTTATGTGCTCTGTATATCTTGGATTCGTAGGAGGTGAATTATCCAAGAAAAGTAGGAAATTATGCAAAAGACAAAATTATTTAAGTAGTTTTAAATCCTTGCCTCTCCTAATTATGTGATCTCAAAACAAATAGCGCTAAAGATCCAAAAACAAATAATCTTCAGCTTATTTGATGAGTCAGTTAGATACAAGATAAAAACAAATAATTGTTATCCAGTGTGTAAAAGAAGTAATTAAAAATCTAAATAAAAGGTTCTACTTTCTGAAATCACATACCAAGCTCTTGAAGGTCGATGTCTGCTGCAAGAAAAGAATTTTCATGCATTTTGTTTGTATGTATTTGAAGGATTTGTAAACGTCCATGCTCATCGGGGAGGTTTATTTCGACATGAACCTCCAGGCGTCCAGGTCTATAACAGAACACAAAGGAACCAGATTATGTGTGCTACAAGTATGCAAGAGAATGTCATAATGAACTTTTAGATTCAAAGGACATCGAAAGCTACTATAACTTCATGTGACCCAACAGCATGGACTTCTATGGGCCAATAAGATCAGAAAGAGAACGAATATTGAACAAATTTCTAGTGCAGAGGCAAAAAATTAAAAACGCTGATAGACATCGATCAGTATGAGAAGAGACATTGTTTAGCTAACAGTTTGACATATAAGCCACAAGTACAGAGAATTGCCTCAATAAAGCTTCATCCAACAAGTCCTTCCGATTGGTCATTCCAATAAGCAGCACATTGTTTAAGGACTCAACACCATCAATCTAAAATAGAAAGTTGGTTAGTTTTGATACGTTTGCTGAAGAGAAACTAACCTACAGCTATGAATTGTACCAGCAACTAATTGAATTGCACAAATTAAAGCATACCTTTGTAAGAAGCTGATTCACAATGCTGTCATGTACTCCAGTACCATCCCTTGTTGAACCCCTAGACTGTAAATATAGGATAAGAGAAGTAAGAAATCTTGGGCAAGGAAGCATGATTATGCACCAGAACAACATTTCATGTGATAACATATTCTCACTGATATTGCAGGCAACTATATCATGACTGGACAATACAGTACAAAAGTAAACCACCACTGAAAAACCTTAACATAAAGCATCCTGCAGAAGTGGCTCAGAATTTGAAAGAAGAAAATGAAGAAACTAACCATATACTGGGATTAGCCTAACAACAAAAAAGGCAAAATAGGGTTGTCCTACGTCAATCTTTTCCATGTCAGCCCGTACTATGATGTTGGAAAAACCATACTACTATAACCAAGGTGCTCAGATTGATTATCACATCCAGACAAGAATATGATTAACTCCAAAGTTTGTAACATGTAGTACAGCACAGCCCACGTGACTACAAAAAGCTGGAAATGTTGCAATGAAGTCTTATAGCAAGGTGCACCCATCTCACATAGAGCACAAAGTCATCTAATATAATGACATGCAACCAGCAAAATACAAGTACTTTAAACAGGGTGCAAATAATTTCCATAGCAAGATGAGCCTCTTACCTTACATATGGCATCAATTTCATCAAAGATAATGACATGCAAATCACTTTCATCCCCTGAATAAGATTAAATCATGAAGTACAATCACAGATTCATAATAAAGATACTTGGAATTAAACAAGTTGGAAGATATAACATAGGTTGAATACCTCGAGCCCTCTGGTCATTCTCCGCATCAGCAAATAAATCCCTCACATTTTTCTCTGTCTCGCCAACAAACTTGCTTAAGACTTCAGGTCCATTGACAATCTAAATTTCCCAATAGAATGATCTAGTAAGTACTAGATATGTGATGGAAGGGCAAAAAAACACCTTAAAAGAATGCACACCCTAGAAGTTGACACATATTGCAGTCAGACAATAGAACAAGTAAAAAAACACCTTAAAAGAATGCACACCCTAGAAGTTGACACATATTGCAGTCAGACAATAGAACAAGTTAGATTCTAGTGCTATGGAGCATAATTCTAGAGCCATTAACATACCACAAGTCGCATTTAATAACTAGAAGTAAATAAAAAAATAAAAAGGAAAAAGGAAAAAGGAAAAAGAAGTCTGACAGAATGGTATCTAGATCTCAAGTTCTTGTAATAAAATCGATTAGATGTGTATGGTTAGATGGACTCCTTAAAGCAGTGAGATGGAGTATGAAAATTCATACAATCATCCATTAACTTGCCTCTAGTTCTAAATTCTAATGATTCCAAAATATTGCAGCACAAAAAAAATATACCATTGAATAACTGCCAAATCCAAATAATAATAATAATAATCTACTTTAAGAACATACAAAAATAAAACTTCCACGCCACAACTTGCACAAAACTATAACAAAATGATTTTTATATATGAATCACTAACTTGACATCATGTAATTGCCAATATCCAATTCTCTCTTTGAACTTATAATTAGCATCAGAATGACTCAAAGATAGAGTTTAGTTTTTATATAATAATCAGAAAAGCTGTCTAACTTGACATCATGAAATTGCCAATATAAATTCTCTCTTTGAACATATAATTAGCATCGGAATGACTCAAAGGTAGAATTTATTTTTCATAGGCATCAATTTGTCTCTGCACATTCATCACTTGGGATGTAGACCTCAATATAAGACATGTATGGAATTGGAAGGCAAATCTACATGTAATAATAATTAGAGATAACTTCCTTGTGATGTTTTAAGAGTCACGGCCTTTTTGGTTTTAAGAGGCACATGCCTTCCTATTAATTCCCAAGTCACCTTCCACCTGCTTCTTTATACTAAAGCCAAGCCAGTATAGATGGATTATCAATAAACTCAACAAAATAGTGACCTTCATTTGCTGAGGAAATTTAAAGATCATTCTTCAAGCAGTGTTGTAAATAGTTGCAAAAAGCGGGGCAATCGCGGCGCGAATAGTGGAAGCGGGCCATCAGCGCTACGCTTAAGGCATTAGCGGCGTGTTTAAACGGTAAAAACCGCTTTGTGTTCGAAAAGCGCGGGTTAGCGGTTAAAAGCGCTATTACCCGCATCAGGTTTTAATGAGAATCACCCCCCGAACCCGACCCGTACCTACTAATATTAAAACTCTCCCCTTTTTTTTTGCCCTAGCCGCCTCTCGCCTCTCCCACAGTTCCAGCCGAGTGACGCCAACTTCCAGCGACGTCGTCCAAGCTCCCACTACTTCCAGGTTGTATAGCTGGTTTATGGAGGAACAAAGGTCTCATCTCATGCCTGTTGCAGTGCTCAATCTGATAACCCAATGCAATCGGGTATGTATAGCTGGTTTTTTATGGCATATGGATTCTTTGTTCTCTTCGTTTTCTCTTTGGCATGATTTTGGGTTTCTCTGTGCTGGAGCATGTACTGCTGGCCGCGGTTTTTTTATTCTTCCCTAAGAAGTAGCAAATGGCTTTCGGCTTTTTGGAGATTATTGTAGTAGGTTTTCCCTTCACTTACTGGGAATGACGGTTTTTTTCCACAACAAAAACACTGTAGTAGGGGAGGTATATGGACTTGTCGTCTGCAACAGAAATGAATGAAGAAATAATTTATAGAATTTTTAGATTTTTATATGATTTTTCTTATTATTTAGAATATTTAAATATATTTATATTTGACCGCTATTTGACCGTGCGCTATTTGCCACTATTTTGCTGCAATTGCCCGAAATAGCCTTAGTGATAATTCGACGCGACGCGATCCGCTATCAGCAACGTTGTCTTCAAGTCAGTTTAGCTCTCCCTCATGAGTAAACGGTCGTATACATTGCTTCAGCATTGCAGTAGTATAGTAATAGAATGTAACTTTTTTAAGTTGCACTAATTTAAGTTTCAACAAGCATTTAAATACTTCTTCTATCTGACAAAAAGAAAATTGCACAATTAATTTTCATCTACATTATGTTTTTTTATTCTTCCCTAAGAAGTAGCAAATGGCTTTCGGCTTTTTGGAGATTATTGTAGTAGGTTTTCCCTTCACTTACTGGGAATGACGGTTTTTTTCCACAACAAAAACACTGTAGTAGGGGAGGTATATGGACTTGTCGTCTGCAACAGAAATGAATGAAGAAATAATTTATAGAATTTTTAGATTTTTATATGATTTTTCTTATTATTTAGAATATTTAAATATATTTATATTTGACCGCTATTTGACCGTGCGCTATTTGCCACTATTTTGCTGCAATTGCCCGAAATAGCCTTAGTGATAATTCGACGCGACGCGATCCGCTATCAGCAACGTTGTCTTCAAGTCAGTTTAGCTCTCCCTCATGAGTAAACGGTCGTATACATTGCTTCAGCATTGCAGTAGTATAGTAATAGAATGTAACTTTTTTAAGTTGCACTAATTTAAGTTTCAACAAGCATTTAAATACTTCTTCTATCTGACAAAAAGAAAATTGCACAATTAATTTTCATCTACATTATGTGAGTAACAACAATCAATTAACAATTGCAAGAGAGAAAATTAATTGAGAAATATAGTACAAACCTTTGGTTCTTTTCCATTTAACAGTTTCCCAATCTGACGAGCCATAAGGGTTTTGCCGGTTCCTGGTGGCCCATACAGCAACATTCCCTTAACATGCTTGATGCCCAATCTGCACCAGCACAAAAACATCTCAATTTTACCTAAATACGCAGCAAAATAACTGAGTTTCTCGAACATTGGAGTTTTAAATAAGAAATTACTTATTAACAACATGAGGAGGGAACACTCGAGAAGCAAATGCTCTTCGAAAAATATCAGTGAATTCCTCACTTAATCCTCCTATCCCCAATTTTTGAAGATTAAACTCTTTCTGTCTGAAAATATTGCTACTGGCAGCTTCACGTTGATTAATTACCTGTAAAAAACATGTGACAATTGATGATGAAGTTAGCATCATAGGACATCAACATTTTTAGTAGAGAAAACATAGTGATGCTAAATACACAGGGAAACGAACAGGCCTGTAAAAAACAATTACAATCCACAGAATAAAAGAAGACAACTGAATGGAAAAAAAAAGGAAAAAGACATACCTTAATCCCAGAATTTGGGACAGTTTCAAATACAATGTACGTGTCAGAGGTAATAATTCCTCTCACCAAACCTTTGGATTTTTCAGCACCTTCAACCATAGCCTGATTAACTGTAAAAATATAGTTTGTTCCACAAAATTCAAATAACACTCTCTGGCCCACTGTCATAACCTGCATATCATATAATAGCTCTCCCATTAGATATAGTAAATATAAGCCTAATATCCTAAATAATTTAGCATTTAACCAGGTGAAAAGACAATGGAAATTATAGAAAAAGAAACAGATACACACTTTGAGCAATCGCAAGAAAGATAGTCTATAATTTCAAATAACATGCTACAAATTCCACCCACTTTCATGTCAGAAAAGAGTATATACTTCTAGCCATAAAATGCCTTTGCATTAACTTTTTCAACAAGGTTAGGAAACCCTATCAGTTTAATCAAGTCACGGAATTTTCCTGAGCAGTTTCCACCTGTCTTCACTAGTTTTGTTTAGAAAATACTAGTATTCACGATGCATGTATTGATATAAAATGCAGGGAAGTTTGCAGCTGATTCGAAAAGGTTTGTTGGGCTTGATTTGTCCTAGTTTGAGGTTCTGTTGATTTTTTCAAGCGTGAGGACATTTCTGTTTTTCTTCATATGCGAGGACAAGTCCGGAATTCTAAAAATGTGACTCACGTACTAAAAGGAGGCTCCTCTTAAATATATTTAGAAAATATGCAATTAAGAAAATTGCTTTGTTTCTTAAGGTTGCAAGCTGATCTGATACGGTTCTTACCATATCTATATCAACTTCCTAATCACAGATGCAAATATGAATATGAATGTCTCAGTAAAGAAAACTCATGACCGTATCAACCAAAATTGAATACAAATTCTAATCAAATGAATGGATAGAGAACTAATATGAAGAAAAGAAGTAAGACCAATGATCATATGACACGAGATGTTTAAATATCATAAATTACTAAAATGAGAGTCCATTACAATGTTCAACATATTTGAACAATTATGATTAGATTTCTAGATCATCAAAATGAACCTCATGTATTAATTACTACATATAATCAGATATTTGGATACGGATATTTCAATTATATATATGTATCTGTATCCATATCCTATTGGATATAGATATTGATATCCCTCCCTCCCGATCTGTATCCATACTTATCGGATATAGATATTGATATCTCTCCCTCCCTCCCAAAAACCACAAGGGCAACTTTTGCACAGATCCCTTCTGCAAAGAAAGGGTGAAGACAGGAGCTGAAACGAACCAACAGATTAATATATGGTCATGTGCACATGCATGCATGCATGTTACGGCATGCACAACCACAACCCGAAGAGCAAAAATACTAGCCCTTGATCAAGAATTAGAGAAAAGGTAGCCTCATCATTCTTCACTTCCCCAATTTAAACCCGTCAACAATCATGAAGAAAAGTATATCTTTTATGTCCTATGTCACAATATAAAGGCACTATGAAAACAAAAAGAAAAAGTTAAGATGGAATGATAGATCAAAATCCTCAATTAAGAACATGCTTCTAATTTAATAAAAAACAACTTCCATTTGCTCCGACATATCCTATAGTAGACGATTCACTGTTGTCTAAACATAAGTCTGGGGTGCCTGGATTGACAAGTAATATAAACTCTTAATTGACTGAATTATGGTCTAAACTTAATGCTATTTTATCCGTAAAACTAGTCAGTTGATAACTAACTGAAGGGATGAGTGATATTCATGGTGTTGTAAGGCTTTCACAGCTACTGCATTTTGGTGGTGGTACACTCGTGTGCAAATGTGCTCCCTTGAACTAAACAATTAACATTTGATAATTGAGATAAACTCACAATGGCAGTTTCAGATGATTAATGTGTTGCAGAAGCCTCAAAATAACAGAGCTCAACGTCATGCATACTTCTATAGAATCTATCTTTAATAGGGTTTGATCCCTTATTTCTAATCCATCTAACTTAACTGTAAGCCAAAAACTAGCTCTCACATGGACTAAAGTATAACTACAAAACCATGGTCTAGCAGCAGCTAAAGGGGTACCAAAAATGAAAAGGAATGGGTATTTTTTTACCTGGTCAGCAAATCTTTTCCTCAGCTGTTGAGCAAGATTAATAGCATCTATCTGCAGAGGAAACATCATCATCACGATAAGAATCCCTTATAAAGCATTTCAATATTACAAAACGGTATGTCTGTAAAGACAAAGGGCCTGTAAGACAGTTGAAGATGAGGAAAAGATTAAGCTTGTTATTAGGTCATGATTCAATGAAGTTGTTAATCATGAAAAGAACCTTACTTGTTCAGCTCTATTAGCCCTCTTAACAACAAACTCCAACTCTACTGAAAGCATTGCAAGGGAAAAATTTTCTGGCGGTACAAACCTAATTTTGTAGATAAAATAATGGTCAATAAGAAGATCAGAAGACAGATGACAATCAACACATAATCTTAAATAAGCTTGAGCAAACCTGCTAACAGATATTTGGTCCTCTGTGGAAACTTTTGCATACCGGCGTTGGACGGCATTCAGACCAATACGACCATCATTAATTTTTTCACTAACCGTGAGAACTTGTCAAGGATTACTTCAAGGAGGAGCAAAAACATTCATACTTTGAATACAGATAACATACAAAATCATTCAACTAAGCCAACATAGTCCGAATATGCATCCATATGTTAATTTTACTTTTAACTGACTGCTAGCTATTTGTGTGAGACAGAACCTGCTTTGAAGAATTACATAGGAAATGTAATATACTGTATATTTCCCATTAATCAGCATTCATTTTAACCTATAGTGTAATTATTAGTTAAATAAGGAAATGCAAAACAAATACTCATGTCACTAATCTGTTAAATATTTGATCGTGGGCTGACAAAATGACTACATTGAGCACATACACATAGTTTAAGGGAGGAAATAGACAAATGGATACTTTTGGGAAAAACTTGAGGGTTCACCAATACTTTAAAGAAGGAATTGATCATTTCGTGCTATTATATTTGCCTCACAACTCACAATAGTATGGTATCTCTGAAAGGTCTCAAAACTTCCAAGTGAAAAGGAAGCCATATATGGAGAATTGGACTAATGGACTGCTTGGGAGACAGAATTTCCTGTTATTGCTGCTACAAAAGCTTTCGAAATTATGCGAAGACGGAACCAGTGGTTACGAATTATTCAGGTGTGTGCTTCTATCTGATTACCATATTTATGGGTAGTCTGTTTGCTTAACATTTCATGGAAAAAATGGCTAATATTTCATGGAAAAAAAGGTTAATGTTACTTTAAGAGGTCTATCTTGTATATAGTTGTCTAGTATCATTGCAATTGTTGAATTCGTAGTGACCTTTACAGAGCCTAAGAGGAGCATTTAAAACCTTTCAGGTTTTCTCTATTTTCATTATTAAGGATTTCTTATGTCATGGTTCATGGCAAACGAAACGACAGTTTGATTTACTATGGTGATCTTAAAGAATTGGGAAACATATTTAGTAGTATAATCCAATTTATTTATGGTGTCATAAAAAACATGTACGTTTCGGTTACCACAGTTTATAGCATTTCTATTTCTATTGAATATCAGTCGAGTTTCCTAACAGTTATAGTGTTTAGGGAAACACAGGGTATATCTTCCTCAAACTATACGTGCAACAGAGGGGTAGGCCTATGGGATGTGGAATGAGACAGTAAAAATCTATATGCAAGTTTATATTGTATCGGAGATGGACATTAAGAAAGCTGAATGAAGAAAATGATTCATAATCCCTACTTTAGGATTTGGCTTTAATGTTATTGTTGCTCTTGTTGTTATATCTTAGAGCAATGAATAGAAATCAATCATCCTTATAGGGAGTGAGTCTACTAAGCTTGCTTTTAGTAGGCATTCTATGTAAAGTGCTAAACCAAATTTTTTCCCCAGGTCAGTAAGTGGTTATTAAGCAAAGGTCAAGTCCTCACTATGGGAACATATGACACCCTACTGTTGGCATTGGATATGGACGGAAGGATAGATGAGGCTGAGACTATTTGGAATGTAATTCTGCAAACACACACACGATCAGTCTCAAAACGATTATTCTCTCGGATGATTGCATTGTATGAGCACCATCACATTCCAGAAAAGATTGTAGAGGTAAGTTATCGTTTGATCTTATGATGCTATTCTTTTTGAAAGACTTGAATGGTTGATTATGGGCTAGATTGTGATATTACTAAGGAAATGTAGTAATCTTTTATTTTCTCTGGGATTATTTTCAGGTATTTGCAGATATGGAGGAATTAGGAGTGAAACCTGATGATGACACAGAAGGATCGCGAGAGCTTTTGAGAAATTGGGTCAGGTCGAGAATCAGAAACTGGTGCTGAAAAAGTACCAGAACAAGTGGATGTATCTGCACTTCAACGGCGAACGTGTTAGGGTTCGGAACCCAGAATATATGAGCGAATAACGCGACTCAATAAAAAAGGGAAAATCCATGATTCATAGTAGCCTAGAAATAAATAATAAGAAAGAAGAAATCTGAAGAGGATATCGTAGGGTTAGGATCAAGGAATCGCCGACGGAGGCGAGGATGCTATCGGATCCAGGAGGCGCGAACTTCTTGAAATCGTGGGAGGAGACGAAGGCGCAGTTGGTTAGGGCGAAATCGTTGCCCGGCGAGTTATCGACGATCATGGACGATGATCTTCCCGCCATTGGAAATTTGAGGAAGATGAAGAACGAAGAAGACTACGGCGGATCTGAGGCTTTCATAAATTTGAGGAAGATGAAGAAGGAAGAAGACTATGGTTCATAAATTTGAGGAAGATGGAGGAGGAAGAAGACTATGGCGGATCTGAGGCTTTCTTAATTGTCACAGAGTCACAGACCTGAAGGTCTTTTTTTTTTTCTTTTTTTTTTCTTTTTTTGCCTTTTCTTTTTATTTGGGTCGAGGTAATGGGCCGGAAACCCTTTGGCTGGTCCCAGTCCCGCAAAGGCATTTTGTACTGAGTTTTTTTATTGGGAAAATTGTGTCCAGACCCCAAAAACAGAAACTTCATATGCTGCAGCCCCTCTTAGTTTTTCCTCATGTGATTCAGCCCCTTGAAGTATAACACTTTGTACTGCAACCCCTTTTTAGCAATTATTACATGTCAGCTAAGCTAAAATCCCTAAAATAACCTTATCACATCTCTTCAATCCCTCAAACCCAGCTCTCTCATCTCCATATGTTAGTTCTAGCTAGTTGGGGGCAAGTTAGAACTAATAATATTTGAAGCGATATAACGAGAGATAGAAAATGAGCCCAAGTGAAAGGAATATACCGTGTGATAAACAATATAAAGGGCTACACACCAGCGAAGACGGTGGTGAAAACGGAGATCGGAGGTGGCCGAAAAACGCGCGCGAAGTCGGCACGGCGCTGCTATTTTTTGCTCGCTGCTGCCGTCGAGCGATGTTTCGGACGTTACCGAGAGAGATAGAGACTGAGTTAGAATGTGATACAAATTGGAGGTGATAGGCAACATGTAGGGCTAGTCACCAAAGAAGAAATCGGCGGAAACAGAGATCGGAGGTAATCGGAAAGTGCGTGCGAAGTCGGCACAAAACTGCAGCGTCATGCCGACTTCGCGCGCGTTTTTCGGCCACCTCCGGTCTCCGTTTTCACCACCGTCTTCGCCGGTGTGTAACCCTTTATATTGTCTATCACACGATATCTTCCTTTCACTTGGGCTCATTTTCTATCTCTCGTTATATCGCTTCGAATATTGTTAGTTCTAACTTGCCCCCAACTAGCTAGAACTAACATGGAACGGGCTAGAACTAACATGGGACAGGTTAGAACTAACATGGAAAAAGTTAGAACTAACATGGAGCAAGTTATAACTAACATGGGGCGGGCTAGAACTAACATGGGGCGAATTAGAACTAACATGAGGCAAATTACAACTAACATGGGGCAAGTTAGAACTAACTTGAGAGACCAAGAGCCTACAACTAAGATGAATTAGAGCTAGAACTAGCTAGAACTAACATGGGACGTGCTAGAACTAACATGGGGCATGTTAGAACTAACATGGGGCAACTTAGAACTAACTTGAGAGCCCAAGAGCCTAGAACTAACTTGAGAAAAAGCTCCTCCCACCTCCGGCGGAGCCCACCGAGACACCCCGACAACCCCGACAATCTCCTCCTACCTCCGGCAAGCCCGGACAGTGGCGAAAAGCTCCAAACAGCGAAGAACAAAGCCGAACGGCGAGAAATTGCACTGCAGAAAACTGCAGTTTTGTAAAACCCCAAAAATTTGAATATTTTGTGATAAATAATAATAAATATTTTATATATTTATAAATAATATATTTTGATATTTGAGTATGCTAGGAATTGGTTTGAGTTTAATTCAATGTATATATGTATATATATAAGAGCAAATGCACAATTCATGCTCGATGTATAAATCTGGAAATTTATGATTAGCGAAGAGATTTTATATTTTTCTCACAAATGTAGTTGGAATTTAGAAAAACTTAAAAGATAAAGGTTGTAGGTATCTTCAAGAGATTTCCAACAAGTCTTATATCACCTTATTCCGAGGTCGGACGTGAAAGTTATGGCCAAAATACCAAAGATTATTTTCCTAGTCAGATTAGGATTCCTGGTTCGGATCAAACGGGTTTATTTCGGGTTTGCATATATATAAATATGTGTTTTCACGAAAATTTACATTCTTACATCAGAGTTTCAAACCCTAGCAGCCCCTCTTCCTCTCTCTGAATCCCTAGCCTTAAAGTTGAGAATTTTGAGAGCTTTGTGAAGCAAATATCGACACGAGGGCGAGGTCATCAACGTGTAGCAAGGGGGAAATGGCTTGGTTGCACTTCTTTTTGGTTGCTGGTTATTTCAGAGGCTTAGAATGACGTCTAAGGCAAGAATATCTTCATCCAAACCCTTCCTCATAGTTAAATAACTAGTTAGATGTTTAATATGATGTTGAATATGTGTTTTCATGCTTGAATCTTAACATGATGTGATAAAATTTAAATTTTTGATATTAAAACATAAACCAATGCTAGATTAGTAATTTTTTTTCTTGCTATTTATGATAGTATCATGATCATGATCATTAGGGTTTTTCATAATTTCATTTATATATGAGAAATTTAAGAGATGTACTAAATAAATATTTTCTGCAGAAAACTATAGCAATTGTATCATGTTTAACTAAGATTTTGAAATAGAAAATAAACTCCAAATTTAACCAAACTAATGCCAAATGAAAGATATATGTATCTAGTTTCTAAAACAGAAAACTATTCTTAAAAAGAGTTTTTATAGAAAAAGATATGTTATATTTACTAACAACATGTCCTGCAGAAAAACGAATGCACATATATAAAGTTTAATTGGAGATTTGGGATAACAAATGAACTCCAAACTGAACCAAATTTTTTTCATTTGAAATATGTGTGAATCTAGTTTACAAAACAGAAAACCATTTGTAAAAATAGTTTTCCTAGAGAAATATATGTTTATTTTTCTAACAGATATCACGTCTATTTTTCCTGCTCGTTTTGTGGAGTTGTATTGCGCCGTTTTGATGTGCGTTCGCGGAGTTTTGAGCCGCTTGATGTTACACGTTTAGTCATGAATATGTTATGTTATATATTTAAGAATCCCAAGGGGATTATGATAAATTTTGATTTGATCATATTTGAATTAGATATAGTTCATATACATGTTGGATGCCATTGATGAGCACAGCTCAGTACTATATGGGATAGTGCGTCGACATACCAAATATACATGATTTATACAAGAGCTGAATGTTGTTGATGAGCATATCTTAGTACTATATAGGATAGTGCGTCAACATACCTGAGATACAAAGATTTATATGAGGTGGATATCGTTGATGAGTTCAGTTCAGTACTATATGAGGTAGATGCGTCGATATTCCATATGTACAGGCTATTGAGTCGGATTTTAGGAGGCTTGATCTAGCCGTCCGTCCCGCACTAGGGTGCGATGAGGCTCGTGAGCCGTATTTCTAGGATGCCTATTTGGTAGTCTGTCCCGCACTCATGTTATGCACTGAGATCGCGATGAGACTAATGAGCCGTGTACACAGTTCAGTATACCTACAGGGTAGTCCGTTGCACTGAGACAATTACTTGATAGCCTAAGTACGGCAGATGCTGATTTTGAATACGACCTATCATTGAATTATACGACTGAGATATGTTACTTTTGAAAGTATACAAAATTATGTGTTAGTATTTTATTCTATCTCTCCCAGTGATAGTGAAAGATATTATAAATACGATGTGTTGATATCTTATTTCTTTTACTGTCCTTTTTACTTCTTAGTTGGGATCAATGATTAGAGATTCACAATTTGAGACTTATGGTATATACATGAGGGTTTCCTTGTTTGGATTATTTAGCTCGACGTGCCAGTCTCGTGTTATGAAATGAATCTAGGTAGACTATGCTTAATAGATAGAGCCTCCACTCCATCTAGCAGCCCTTCCCCTGGGAGCGAATGGAGGTAATCTTGTTGTAGCACTCTGACGCTCTTGTTGTTGTTTCTTTTTCTTTTAAAAATACCCTTTCAGGTAGCTCGGAGTTCCGGAGAGCCGCAGGATGACGGAGTTCTTGCATAGTCGCCGTCCCAAGAGATTTATTAGAGGCTCCACTGTAGTTTTAAATTTTATTCAGACTTAGAGTTTATTTCTATTTTGTAAAGGCAATGAGCCTTAGTTCGACTTTCCGTTTTGATTCATGTTGAGACATCGTATGTTATTAAAGACTCCAAATGTATTTTAGTTTATTTTCAGTTGAGACATGACCTTTATTTATGAGATATCATCTTCTTTATCATGTCTATTATTGTCGTTCTACTTCTTTGCTGTTTTGTACCTACGTTTTGCATGGCAGGTTTGACATATCTGGGTTCACCTTGGACTGCAGCCATGAGTGAAAACTGGGGCTTCACAAGTTTTGTGCCGACTTCACACGCACTTTCTGATCACCTCCAATCTTCGTTTCTGCCGATTTCTTCTTTGTTGACTAGCCCTACATGTTTCCTTTCACCTCCAATTTGTATCATGCTCTAACTCAGTCTCTATCTCTCTCGGTAACGTCCGAAACATCGCTCGACGGCAGCAGCGAGTAGAAAACAGCAGCGTCGTGCCGACTTCGCGCGCGTTTTCCGGCCACCTCCGGTCTCTGTTTTCACCACCGTCTTCGCCGGTGTGTAACCCTTTATATTGTCTATCACACGATATCTTCCTTTTACTTGGGCTCATTTTCTATCTCTTGTTATATCACTTCGAATATTGTTAGTTCTAACTTGCCCAACTAGCTAGAACTAACATAGGGAGATGAGAGAGCTGGGTTTGAGGGATTGAAGAGATGGGATAAGGTTATTTTGGGGATTTTAGCTTAGCTGGCATGTAATAATTGCTAAAAAGGGGTTGCAGTACAACGTGTCACACTTCAAGGGGCTGAATCACATGGGGGAAACTAAGAGGGGCTGCAGCACATGAAGTTTCTGTTTTTGGGGCCCGGACACATTTCTCCCTTTTTTATTTGGTTAACTAAAGAATTTTGGCGATCAGAGGTATTATATGGTTTTTTTAAACTCTGATTAAGTGCTACAGGTTTGCTTTATTTTCTGGGTAAATTTTACATCTATTGTAATTAATATATTTGTAACAGTATATATGATTAACATATTATAATTATAATGTTACATAGAACTAATAGATTATAACGTTATATATATATATATATATATATATATATATATATATATAATATTATAAAAATTTATTTAGAGAAAGATACAATAAACTTTTCTTTACAGGATTATCATCACATCATAAATGTATGTTCGTGAGGGACGCATGAGTATTTAGTTTTACTT